AAGGATTCTCGAGGACCATTCGGAGTTTCGTTATGCACAATTTTTCTTTTCTTGAATTTGACATGTCGTCAACATGTTTTCCTGAATTAATAATAACGAAACTAATTATCTAGAGGATCTCAACGGTTTGCGAGGGAAAAATTGCGGAGCATAAAAAAATGCTTGATGCGCAATGTGGAGAGCACGAGCAGTGGTACAGAATCGTGAAAGGAATAAGCACGCATTGCACGTAGTCAAGAATGAGATTGTTCTATTTTCACAGAAAATTTCATCCGCGCGTTGAAAATACGATATCACACCATTTGCAATTACTGAAATGCAACACTCCGTTCGTAATTCAAGTAAGAACGCTCGCATCTGCGTCTTCGCAAATATATCGAGGAAAAGCCTATCTCGCTTTTCACAAAAATTACATTTTATCCCATTTACGACGAAAAAGCGTAATTTTCCAACATATAATTAATTAATGTTCCCGTGTAACAAATACACATACAAATATAACAACTACAAATAAAATATTTAACAAACATCATATGTGAGCTTGTTATGGTGTTCCTTTTTTACATAAGTCCATGTTAGGATATACATAATATGCGATATTGGAAATTCAATAAAGCATGGGAGACAATTAATTTAATTTAGTTAAGTAAATGTTGTAAATTAAATAAATGTAAATGAAACACACGAAGATACATCGTTTCAGCGAAACATAGTATTGTTGTCGCCCGGTTGCCCGGAATATTGTCTCTTTTAAACGTGCTTTATAACGCGAGAAAAGAGGAATTAACTTCATACGCGTGTCATTATTGTTCATTATAATACTTCTATATCTCTTTCATTCATATTTCGTTCATCACAGAATATCTCATGTGAAAAGAGGAAAACAGAAAAGTTGGATATAAATTTTGCTCAATCTGTTGTAACGACTTTTGTGTCAGATCACATCAGATACGATTTCTGCAGAGAAGAGCAAGCAGCGCGTAAAAAACGCTCGAATTTTTTTCCCTACTCGTGGAAGAGAGAGGGAAAGAGAGAGAGACATCACTTAAGTTTCGAGTCGGCAACGAGTGACGTTGAGTGATGCAGCCGTCGGGGGTTGTTATCAATAAAGGTGAGGTGAAAGGCAGGAAAAAAAGGGAAACAGCTGCGTTACACGTCGCGTCGGAACAAAATTATTCATCGCTCAACCCTCTTCCGCCCACTGATTTTGCGTAATGCCAATAAATTCCTAGAGACAAGTGCGGTGAAAAACTTTTGTGACAGACGACATAGCCAGTTCTTGCTTTCAAGTCGTTATTGCAAGTCGTTAAAGTGGTGCTTTCCACCAACTTTTTTACGTTTTTTTCTTTCTTTTTTTCCTATACCCATAATCTTTGCAACTACTGATCGCAATGCGAGGTTCACGTAATTGATGTTAATAACAAATCACGCTATCGTGGGAAAGGACTATTTTGAGAGAGGATAAAAATAGATAAGGATTGAGGATGCAAGGCAGTGGGAAGAGCCTAAAAAGATAATAGGAGTTTTGAAGTTACGATACATAGAACAGATGAAAAATAGATCGAGCTCCCGGTCCCGGTGTGACATAAAACGTTTCCGCGCATGTATATTTCGGACGTTTGGCCGGATATGCGTAAGTCGCGTGAGATCATAAATATCGAGGAGACGGATATAGATACGGCCATATAAATATGTAAACGAGCAGAAAGAAGAAGGGAAGCTCACAGATAAGAGAACACGTCACCGGGGAATTCCGCTATCTATGTTTCACGAACGCGACGAGAAATTCGCATTGAACGTTTCTACGATATGCTTTTACCTTTTCGAGCGACCAGACGTTGATGTCTCGAGCTTCAAGCGTTCTCAGCAACTCGCGCAACTTTTTCTAAGTTACCGTCGTCGAAATTATCGATGCAAATATGTTTCCAGGTACGAGAGGAATTTCGTGGTATTTTGCAATCTTTGCGTAACTTTTTTTGCACGCACCTCGGGCGTACGATTCGCTTGTGTAAAGGGCGAGGAACGCCAAGAATTCTCATCGGTAAGATATTGCGTGAGATTCCGGTAAGAGATTCCGCGGGTTTCATTGCTCATGATCGAATTCTTCTCATAACCAATTCGCACACGAGACGATAACGATAATATACAATAAAAGGAAAAATTACATGGGACCTTTGCGAACGAGCAGTATTCGAAAGTAATTTAATTGTTAGTTTAATTAAATGTACGTTTTTATATATATTCGTCGAATTTATAGGTACGCACGCTCTCTTTCGACGAATCGATCATATTTAACTCTGGCACGGTTAAACATGGGTAAAATTACCCTAGAAAAGACCAACTCTTGAACATTACTGTTCTTAAAAACATGTATTTTGTTTTTCATCATAATTTTGTGCAACTTCATCATGAATCGCGTCAAAACATTAATTGCTCTCGTATTCTTCGATTTTCACATCGTTTTCTACATCGATTAAAAAAAGAGAAGAATTGGATTTCAATCGTGTTTCGATTTATGAGCAAATAAAAATGCGTTGTGTGAAATTTACTTATGTTTAGAGTAATTATTTGATATTTCTAAGAATTCTAGGATTAAATTCGTCGGAAAAGCGTATAATTGTTCTTCATTTTTCAAATAACTACGGAATGTTTTATCAATTGTAACAGGGGTCCCGTTTTCCATTGTATTTTCCTCTCTATTAACGATGTTGCTATATTCTTCAGCTGCGAGGTCGAATTACGCGTGCCGTATAAATCTGCATACATTCGGACGTTTGTCGGCCACCGCTCCATCGCAACGCGGCGTTTAGTTCGTAACGCATAAGACTAACACAATGGCGTGTAGCTTCACGTGAAACATGCATCGAAATTAATGAGGCGGTAATAAACAGATATCGTATTATTGGCAACGATGACGACATTGAGAATATCACGCGCAATTAATTTGCATATTTTGTCGATAATTATTTCGCGCTCGTCTGTATCCGCGCGCGCGCGATCAATGCACCCGTCTCTTTCGACAACATAGTTGCGGAAATGTTGCGCGTGTCGCCGCAAATTTAATAAATATCAATCGACTAAGAATATATCTGACAGTTTATTCAAGCAACGGTCCACACATTCCTCACGACTAATCGCCATGTCGGATTTGTTAAAGTTGACGAAATAACCAGCCCTGACTGCAATCGCTTTATCTCTCCGTTCACGTCGCTATTCGTTTCGCGTTCTCAATGATAATAATTATAATCTGTTGATGTTTTGCCTTTAATACGAGCATGTTACGTTCCACAAGGTACAGGCTTAATGAAAATCCTGGAATGCTCGTCCGGATAAATTAATACTCGTATAACGGATTATAGACTTATTAATATGCCGTAGGACGCGAATCTCATTTAACGTGACACTATGTTTGAAGGCTTTTGGATCATCGCGTTTATTGAATCCCAAATTAAATGTCGTTTTATCAGCCGCGTGGGTTACGTTTGATTCAAGAATTTTCAGATATCCAGAGAGAGAGAGAGAGAGAGAGAGAGAGAGAGAGAGAGAGAGACCATCCCGGGTCGCATCTGGTATTCCATGAGTTCGCTCAGTATTTTACTATACGTCGCGATGCCGCAGGCACTTTCACAACCGTCAGATATCGTTGGTTCCTTTAATATAACGTGGATCATCGTCGACGTCGTCACATACGAAATCTCGACCAGCTTGTCCGATTTTACAGCTCGTTCCGTGAGTTTCAATTTACTCGGCCATCGTTGAGCTTCGCGGTCGTGTGTGAATTAATTAGCTTGTAATAGTTAACCGGCAACATGTTTGGCGCGTTTTAGCGAAAGCGCATTGATGGTCACTAAAGACCACGACAACATGAACACTAAATTTAATCCCTTTAAGCGTGTGCCCATTAAAAAGATATTTTTGCGCGCGACTCTTCGTCGTCGAGTAAGCTCTTTTATGCATTCGGTGAGCCTTAATTGAATTTTTATGACTTATCGTAATCGTTTCGCTTTTGTTGTCTCTTTTCTTTTGCCTGATAATCTCCCCTCGCGATATTCTCGATTTCTTCCACATGACGATAAAAATATCGTATTCAGAGAATCTTCAATCGTTAACGTTCATGTAATATTCCACATGTGATTAATGTGCGCGCAGGTCCGATCGCTCACTCCATCCAGGAGTCCGCTTCGTACTTGACAAGTAGATACCGCAACTAAGAGCATTGAGCGATGTGAATCGATTAGTCAGATTAACCGGGAGCATGCGATCGCAGAGACACGAGGATGGCACTAAGGATTTTCAGCTTCTGCGCGAACCTTGTCGCGAACTTACCCTTAAATCTCTTGAATTTCCCTGGGCGACTATTACGACACTAGATGTGTAGAAAATCGACTATAGACTCCTGCGAGCTGAAGATCGCCCTAACGAGAAATGACCTTGCTATTTTACGCGGCTGGAAATCGTATTTGATATACGAAGCGTTTGTACTCTAAGTAAATATGTCGAGCTCCATCGAATCCGATTATTCTTTCTCTCTCTCTTTCACTCTTTTTTTCTCTCTATCTCCCCCTCTTTCTTATATTTTTGTTTTCTTGTTTCATTCTGCTATAATTATTTTTTCATTATTTTTTATTATTTTTTATATCATGTTATCAACATTATTATACTTCTAATTGAGTCTTTTATAACTTTTTTAATGCGTGCTTAAATTTTCACTTTTTTTTTAGTTGTTAATTAGTATTTTTGTTTTGTTCTCTTTCTTTTTTTCATCACATCTTTACACACATATTACTCCTATATTACTGTATGTCTGATTTTATTCCAAGGCTTAATAAATCTATCTATTTATCCTTTTCTCTATTTCCCCCTTTCTCTCCCGTCACAGCCAGATGAGATATCGTCCGTTTTGCAACAGACGATTAAATCTTTAAGGTACCACCGAGACATTTCCGGCATGGGCTATCGTTGCCGGTTTACCTGACTCGGGGAAGGGATCGCGTGCTCACCTGTCGGTTTGCATGTCGGTCTGCTGTGTTTGCGGCTGCGTCTGTATTTGTAGTCTCTGCGCTCGGTCTGACTTGCTCTCCATCCTACAATAATTCTCCTCGTCTCGTCCTTCAGTCGCCGCCGTTTTCTCGTCTTTCGTGTCGCAGTCCTCCACCGTAAAGTTCTTGCATTCCACCTGCGCAAGAAGACCCGAGAAACGTGGAAATTACGTTACTACTGGAATTACTTCTCCTTGCGCTGATCTAATTTCTTGATACCAGAGAGCGCACAAAGTGCGAGGGGAAATTAGATAGATACATGATGATCTTTCATTAGACTTGAGCGAGAGTTGAGAAGTTATATATAACCAAGTTTTACTCAAATTGTTCTATATGCATACAGGACGAATATGCTCGCATAAATCTGTATTTTTCGTAAGTCTCATTTGAAAATTCTTGCGTTCCCCGCTTCAATCAATCCGATATTCATTATACTAGTGACTATATCACGCGCTCGAGCGAAGCTACTCGCAATTTGCAATTTCCTCGTTATTTATCCGCGCCGCTTTCTTGCAAGACAGAATTAATCGCGGTACTTACTGTGTCGGGATATAGCTCCTTTTGTTGTTCTTCGTCCTCGGGCCGAGCCACGGTGGCTTTCGTTGCCGCACAGCCGCCGTTTTGCGCCATCTTTTTGTCCTTTTTCGTTTCACCACGGCCACAGGGGCCTAGCAGGCAATACACGATCACGCACACTACTATTGGCTTATGTTCACATGCATTTACCCACAACCATCGTGCAGCTTTTTCCGCTCCTGTCTCGCTCAGATGACACGATATCGCATTTTCACCAAAGGCAGCCCTCGTTGTCGTTACGAAGCATGGTTTCACAATAGCTCGTTTCGGTCGTCCCGAGTCCTCTCGTGCGCGAAGGAATTCGTTAGATCACGAGAGAGAACAAGGAATGTCGGCGATTTCCACACGCGGCAGGAAATAGGAATATATCCAGACACGGTGTCTTGAGTATGAAAGGGCACGTGTCAAGGTCTCGGCTTGGATTAATGGTTACGATCAACCGACGCGTCCTCCTATTAAAGAGAAAAGATCGGATCGATGCGCGCTCGCACGCGCGCGAGAGAAAGAGAAAGAGAAAAGAGAGAGAAATAGTTTTCTAGCCACATGTGTACCTCGTTTTTCTTTTAATTGGATTATTGTACATTTATAAAATAATAGAGAATTAATTCAAACATAAAAAAGTAAAAAAAGAAATTAAAGTTATTCTCAAAAATGGGCTCGCGGGTGAAATAATCTGTTTTCCAACACAATAATTTTAGTTCATTACTAAATTAATTTGATTCAAACGGAACAACTTTCGCTTCCTACAATTATCCGTTTATAATTAACGAGAACTCCCCTTGCTGTTTTGATCGCTTTCAACGAGCTGTGAAAATCACAGTTGAGCGAACATATGACGATGTTTGTCTTTTTTGTGAGAGACACATTTGGCAGATAAGATAACAAAGACGTCTCATTATAGTCTGATTTGACGCGTTATGTTACTGTCCAGTGTAAATCGATTCTTCGTCTGTGTACACTTGTCTATCTACGAAGCAAAGTTTATTCTAATCTCTGCCATTTAATAAAAACTCGAGAATAATGAGAGTTGAACGATACGTAGCGCAAAGGCTCTATGAAATGGGACGATATTTCTTTAAACTCAGTTTAAGGAAGAAAGAAATTTCTCGACTTTTAACGAAGATAAAAGGAATAGGCACCTCCTTTTCTTGTTCGAACAGCAGGTAATAAAATTCTCTTGTAGTTCCAATAATTTACTTTTATAGAAATTAAATGTCGAAAAAAAAATCTAATATCGCACTATTCCGATGATACATTTTTAGGTGAGTTTGTGTGTACTGGAATAATCTCTAGAATTTCCGCTTTCTTGAAACGAATCGTACGCGATCGTGTTTTAATTTGCTTGATCGCGAATTCAATTTGCGGTATCGTTTCCGACAGGTGAAATTAAATCATAACTTGTGCAAAGGAGAGGATAGAGACTTCCCGTAGGGGAGTTAGCAATCGAAAACAGAGTCGCGGTCCTTCCGCAATTCCTTCTCAATTATAATTTCCATCATAATCTTGATTCGAATTTCCAGAATTACTTTGCACTGTGTTACAAGTTAAATTTCCTATCAATTATACTCGCGAACGGATTTTGATTATTTTGGGAAAGCGTTAAATAAGCAAAAACCACGTAATAAATAAAAGCCGCGTATGTCAGCTGTTGCTGTAACAATGTAACGCCAAGGGCAATCAATTAATTGGGAGAAGCGACGGTAACTTTTGAAATCGAAAACATCGACAATAAATTCGTTGAAACGCGGCATGTCGATATGCTGATTAGGGATCTCGCTTCGAGGGATGCGTGACACGTTACGATATTGAACTTGGCGTCTTGGTAGTCGGGAAAATCTATTAACGTGCACAGCGTCGCTGTTCGAATATGGCGTTGATAGTACAACCGCCAATTCAATGGCAAAGGGTTTTCCAGCGTATTGAACTGTATACAGTTGTTCAGATAAGGCTTCTAAGCCTATCTTGTGCCGTATTTCCATAATCTGTGTATTGATAGCAATTGAAGGCACATGCTACGATTGATGGGATCGATAATAACGTCAGATAACGATTGCAATATGTCACGACTGTGGTTAGAAATGGGAGATTGTGTGTGAGAGAGAGGGAAGGAGAGGAGAAGAGCACAGTAACTACGATATTGCGTATATTTTTAATAAGATTACAGTCCAATCGATGACATAAAATACTAAAGTATATCTCTGCGAAACGACATAACGTGAGCAAGAAAAGAAAAAAGAAACCAATGTCGAGTTTTGAGCAGAGGGTTATTTAAATGGTTATGAATCTTGAATAGAATTTAAAAATGTGCGAAAGACAACAGGATATTAAGCATATAATTCGCGGAAAGTGTCGAGAGAGAAAAATTATAAACGCTGAAACGTTTGCACTTGCGTCGCTTGAATTCTTTGTAACTGAATGTAACACTCGTGAAAGTGGCATCAGCAAACTGTTGCCGACGTTCAACGTGAAACCAGTGCACATCTTTCTGAGGGAGGCATTAATTTAAAAATGATTTAATTTGTCAAAGTAACACATGTGAAATAAACGCAAAATAAATAGCGCATCGTAGTAAGCCGTACGAAGACTATGAATAATGAGAAGCTGCCTTCTCAGTGCCGCGAGCTGCATCCTCGCGTTTCGCATGAAGTGACATTTCGCCGGAAATCGTGACAAAAATAGTTTCCGCTTTCTCATTTCACCTTCTTTTTCTCGCTTTCTTTCTGCTTCTTCTCTTCTTTTTTTCCTTTTCAACAGCAAACAAAGCGCATTTTATCTTCTCTAGTCTTTTTTCTCTTCCCCTTTTCACAATTTACAGCAGCAGCTGTGCGAGAAGTCGAAAGGAAAATTCGTACGGTCGGCATTATATTAAAACCCACGAGAATCGCGTAGAATAATTTGGCGTCTGCCACAATGCGCTCCGACGACATTGCCAGGGCTGCGAAATTGCGGCTTCGCGTACGTATTTGTCCGCGTTGGAAAGTCCTTTTGATCCGGCGCCGATCATGACGCACTTCGTATTAATGGTCCGCCGCCGGAGAAAAGCCTCGTCGATCGGATCTTGTATTGCAATCTTGTATTGTATTTTGCACGTTTTATTAATTCATTTTCGCGCGGAAGAATCAAATGCTCCGAGCACTCCGAAGCCCCGCTTTACGATATGCAGATTCGCAGGGAAAAATAAAGAGAGGAAGTTTTACGTGAATCTTTTATACGTAGATGCGCCAGAACGCGGCAGAGTTTATTAGGATGATTAAGTTACATTAAACGGAGTTTATCCAATTAAAAGTACAGCCGCTACGATACTGCGGCCTCGACTGAACGAGGACGAATTATTATGACTTTTGCAACAAACCAAGTCCCAATCGGTCAGATCCCATGAATTTTCAACATTATTCGCGGTTCTCCGCAATTCTTTCCATATCTCTCGCTATGCACAATGGGGTGCGCATAATCGATATGTTTATCCGAGCTATCCTCGGGGAATAACAGATTCGAATGACTTGGCGGAGAACGGAGAGAGAGTGATCGTTATCGACTGAAGTAGTCGTTTCGACGCGATTGTATGTAAAATGGAAAAAAAATATAGCAGTCGTAACCCATTTATCCCGAATGGCACAAATGAGAAACACAATAGATCTCGCTAGAAACAGAATAAATAAAAAGGAATGGGAGGAGCTTGTTACGAGCTTGTGATCTCGCGCTGTGCACTTCACGGGGAAAACGTAACACCCGCCGACCTTAATTACCAGTTTATTCATTAGCGACAGTTGTTGAGTTACAGCGAGCCCACGCGGATATCGCAGCCGCGTGTGAATCTCGCGTTACTGCGAATAACGTGGCCGCGTTTGAGAGTTTCGAACGAGTTCGAGAACAACTTTTCCATTGTCGTCCGCAGCAGTTCGAGGTAATGCGACGCGAGCGCGGAAATTTTTTATGTGATTATGATGGTTCTCTCTCTCTCCCTCCCTTCTTTCCTCCTTTCCTCCCCTCACACTTGCAAGAATGCATCCGTTCGCGGCTCAATATGATTACAGCGACTATGCGTTGATTTCTGAAAACAAACGTGCGAACAGCACATTCGCGCTGGCTATTGTAGCTAAGCCCTCGTGAAACGACGGATCGAAAGAAGATAACGGATGGCGGTCGCTAAAGAGATCGCAGGTGGAAGTCGGCAATCTGTCAGACTGACGTTAATCGTTAGAGAGCGAATTAATCCAATTATAAACAGAAGAGGCTGGGTATCGCATCTCCCGATTTATATGTGCGTATTCATATTTTCGAGTTTTATTTTTAGTCACAGTTGGATTTTTCTTTTTTTTAGATATTTTAAACTTTCGGTCGAAATTAGTCGGATTTATTACAGGAAAAGAGAGAGAGTCGGAAATTTGCCAAAAGGATTCGACGGCGCGGATATTTCGTCAAAAAAACGAGTTTTGCGTCTATTTTAGGATTTTGCCGCACCGAGGGACTACGGTATGACTACGCGATTAAGTTCCATCGCAAAATCCATCTTTGTCGCGTCGGCTGCGTCATGAAGCACTATTGACTCCGAAACAGTAGCAGTAAAAATAACGCGTCATTATTCGAGACTCACACTGCATATACGCACACACATACACACACACACACACACACACACACACACACATATTCACGCAGATGCATATGTGTCGCGTACTTTGAGAAAGATAAATCATTCGCAATTCTGTGACTGGAGGACACCGGTCAGAGGTTTAATTACTTTGACTCGAGTTCGAAAGTGAAGACTAATTGGGTTGGTGAGCCGGGAGCGCCGTCTTCTCGAAATAGTATTTGATCTCGATAAATAAAGCTTAGGAAATTATGTAACGTGGTTTGTTGAAGTTCGTTCTCTCTGTGGATCGAACACACGCTTCGATGAGCGCCTTTAATTAGGATTACACAAATTAAATCGTGACCAGCAGTATTTTAGTTAGCTCAATTTTAGAGCCGCAACTTTCGTAAAGATGAAGATAGATAATATCCCCGTCGATGGAGCTTTTATTTGATCTCGACTATGCAGCGAGAAGTCACGAAATAATCTCGCGCTGTGCTACGAGAAAGCGAGCTAAGTGTAATAATTCGTCATGTATGACGAACAGTCGAGTATTTCTTCGCGTCTTCGAAAGGCATCCGCCAATGTTGCAAACGTATTACGACAATGGTTGTTGCCGATGATTTACGAGCGCTCACGATAAACGCGCAAGAGAATGGACCGAAGTTACACGCTGCATCGCACGCGGACTCACCTCATTGATCAAGCTTAAAAGATTAAGTCGCGCACGATATATTCGTGCGCGACACTCGCGTCCCGATTACACTCGTCGCCCGAATTTGCGCGGTAATTATGTCCCGCGTACACAAAACGATATGACTTCACAACCTCGCGAGCGGTTCGACACACGCGAATTTCAATATCCCGCGGCGTATTTGACTGTGCGTCCACGTGTCGCAGGGCAAACATTGTAAATTTGTCGAGTGCGGGAAGCTTATTACGCGGGAATTTGTTCGATAGTGCGTTAGGAATTTAATAAGGGAGACCGACTCATAAATCCTCGAGTAATCGCGCGCGACTCTCTGTGACGTCAGTATTCACATCTCCTGTTTATTCAGCATGCCTTCTCTTATATTTTTGTTATTTCGGTTTACGCACGCTGAATATTCCCCCGAGTTATAACGCTTTTTGCCTATTTTCTCAGTGGTAACCGGGGTTTTTATTGTCTTCCTCGATTTTTCTTCTCCCAGATTCGAGAAAATATCGAAATATTATTGAAGCTTTCTTTATTCTTTCAGAATTGAGGATCGTGTAGCTTTTTTAAAAATAAATGGTTAAATATTTTATTTTTAGCGATTTTCGAATAAAAATGTCGCGAGAAACATATACCTTTTAGAATAGTTCGAACTGCCACTCGCAGGAATATGTAAATTCTCAGAAGGCGCAGGTATAATCCTGCAGACAACAGCGGATCATGGTAATGACGGTTATCGGCGGTGTTGTGTAACACGGTGAGTTTGGGAGGTGACATTAGCAAGGCTCTGTTACAAATGTTTTACACAAGAACGGTTAGTGGAGCATAGAATGAAATGACGCATAACACAGGATCGATTGATCGACCGTGCCTCGCTCGTATTTATTTGGCACCGGTTCGTTTTTCTCATCAACGGTAAAGCAAGGACCGCGCGACCAAACGCGGTTAATTATCGTAATGGAGCGCGTGCGTGAATACGAATTTTCTCTCGCTATTTTTGAGCGTAGAATGAAAGTGTAGGATGAAAAAGAAAAAGGAAGAAGAATAGGAAACAACCCGATATATATCGAATGCAACGATATCGACGAGGAGAGGGATGACAGCTAAAGACAAAGAAAGTCGATAGTACACGGTAGTACGCGGCTTTGACAACCGAACGCTGGCAGTAATCTGTGGCAATCAAGGTGTTAAATATCTAATCGTATTTCACGAACGGCACCTGATACTATCGATCAGTTAATTGCTGCAATATCTACCTGCCCGACGACGGACACAGAGGCGCGTTTAATCCACTTCAGCAGGGGAGAAGACGTGTTTCCTTCTCACCGAAGAAAGACTGTCTATCTATCAAAGTTTCACGTTGTCAGTGTCACCCGATAAACCACATTTTTTCTCTCTCTCTCTCTCGCTCTCCCTCCCTTTCTCTCCCTCCCTTCCTAGCACCCTCCTGTCCCTTAGAGTTACAGCTGTGAAGCAAGGGAGCGCGGGACTAAGACAGGAGAGTTTTACATCGTGGCTTGTTATTCCGCTGAAAGCCGCAGTACAAATGATGTTTTCAGGCCTAGGATTGGCCGTTGCATCGTGAAAAAGAGCCATAAATCAGGCCTCGGCGAATTAGACAAAGATCGTCCAAGACTATCGTTTGTTAGTTTCTCCAGTCGTGTCTACGGCGCGCCTCGCATGCTACATACATACACGCGCGCGTAATACATTTCAGATGTAATCTACTTCGTCTGATTCTGTTATCCTTCCCGGCTATCGACTATCGACTTCAACGTAACGGCCTCGGTCGATCGTGGAACTGCGGATTGGCCCCTACAATTCTGCTCTCCTCGAGTGTACATTGAGATTTTTGTCTTATCTAGTATTGAGAGTCATTGGGCGAGAACTTTGGTACGACTTGCGTGCGCAAGTGACTTTTCTCTTCGTGTAATCACGAATCTTTTGTCGACGCGTTCTCCCTCAACACGTGCCGACTCGAAACGAGAGATGCGTGTGATGAAGGTGTGCTTAATTGCGCCGCTAATTAGCGAACTCCAAGATGTCACGGGTATGGTAATTTCGGCGCGTATTACAGAACTCAACGTGAATGTAGGGTAATATCAGGATATCAAGAATTATTGCCGCATGTCACACGCCGCTTTCTCTAATTAGTCGCTTGTTTCTTATTAACGCGTTATTATCGTGACTTCGCGGTGATGTCGGGTTCGCGCTCAAGAACCGCGTCGCGACGGCAATGCAAAAAGAAAATCAATTTCCAGACGTTCGGAAGGCGACGGCGGTTCAGCAGTTTCGGCTAATTAAGTCTCACAGGCACGAGAGTGCAGAGGTAATGTCTTATCTTGCGCGGCTGGTTTCAAATAGACCTCGTCCCAACCGAAACTCTCCGTTTAAAACGACCGAACTTCGTTCCAGCTTCGTTGAAACGTGACGAACCTAGCACGAACCGCACGTTAGTTTCCGCGAACATTAAAAAGAACCCGATGAAATTTCATCAGTCTCGAATTTCTCGCGTGTCTTTGCACAATGCGCGCAACAACGTACAAGCTCGTGCAATGCGGTGCAACGTTGTTTGTTTCCAGTTTAGTGAGCGCTTAGAGTTGGTCTTGTAGCAGCAAGATCTTCACGAGCACGAGAGCGTATTTTCAAATCTTCACTTATATCTATGGAAATAACTTTCATCGCGAGGTACAGAAGAGCCGCGGGCTTCAAAACCTTGTTTACATCGGGCTGAGCTTATTAATCGGATTACGTGGTCTTGTTATGTAAACACTGCAGTAGACAATGCAGCTTGCCGCGTGGTTAATTCGGGATCAATCTTGCGTTATAACATAATTATAGAAATTGTGTGTCGACTGTTCTCATTTCACGGTTGGGTGATGCGCGGGAATCGAAAACGCTCGAACGTCACCAACCGTAATAGCACATGTTGCTAATCGCACGAGTATGCCTCGTGACTACACAGCCCTGTAGTTGATCTCTCCTTTCGGCATGAGTCCTTTCAGCGACTCACGCGTTCGATTTCCTCCTCAGAGGAATTCGGTTGCACATGTATTTTGCGTACGATTTCTATTTTTACCGTTCTTTATGTTCGCGGATATTTCGAGTGAGGGAACCTCGAAATCGCGCGAATTCAACGAGCATTTAAAACTGAACGCAAAACGAGCTCTCTGTATTCATATTTGCCGAACTTTTTCATAAAAAGTTCACTCCCATCGCTTATAATTCCCATGCGTCTCTTTAAAATCTGCGTCTCCAAAAGAGACGCCGTATTTAAATAATTAATTGAGAGGAAATAGCGGAGGGAAGTGCGCGGTATTTCTACGTAATTTTTAACGTGGCGGTCGTTGAGATTTTCTCTTGTCGATAGCGCAGTGGGCGTTTATGAGCGTGTGTGCGATAATGGCAATTTTATGTTATTCGCAACTGTATACGCGTATGCTACGTTACATGCGTAATCTTATCGTGCTTACCGTCCCGGCCGGTCAGAATCGCAAGTTCGCGCTCGATAGCGGCAATATGGATATTGATTCGCTATTTTATTACTACTGATTCGATAAAAGCGTAGTCGGACGGGAAATACGACGAACCCGTCGAATGAGCGGACGCGTGCATGCGAATTCGCGATGATTTTTGCCGCGTTCAGTGTGCACGGCATGTCGGAAACGAGGAGGTTCGCGGAGATCGGGTTAAATTACAGTGGAATTAGGTAAACTCGCCTTGGGTTCCCTATCGAGAACGATAGATACACAACGGGAAACCAGCGCTTTGACTACGCTTGCGGGATTCGGTAAATAAACACGGATGTTCAAACGAAACGCGAAGTGCGTACATCGTCCGAACGAGCATCAATGTGCGTTCATACAAACGGCGAGCATAAATGGAGTCATTGAGTACTCAATCTATTGGTTGGTCGGCTAATCTATCTTCTTTCTAATTTATCCTTTTAAGTAATTATAATTCTTTAGAGCGGAACGTTTCTCTCTCTTTCTCTCTTTCTCCCCCTGCTTCTTTCCCCTTTTTCTCTTTCTGGCATATCAAACAAGCGTGCTCGTTCCTTTGATTTCGCTTAATTGTTTCCGTACCAGCTGAGCGATAAACGTTACTGTTATTCTCGAGAAGAGATTTGACAAAGCAGATATACGAAAATGTAAAAATAGAGAAATCCTAGAGATAGAGAGTCTGCTGGAATTATGTTTTCGCGTAAGATAACATGAAAAGAAATGAAAATACACTTCGCTTCGACTTTGTATACACGTGATGTTACATTTGCTTTTGAATTACACGGCATCGCGATTTTTATTTGCGACGGAGAAAATTGCAAAAATTTATGTGTTTTTTCATGGCGACAATACAAATTGGGAACTCACGTGATGCAGTTGACGATCTATGAAATTCTTGACGCACAAAACATATCGATAACGCATAATAGTTTAACTTCCAGTCGAGTTTCCCGAGCGCGATACGCGAGAGCTCTTAACCAGAATGCTATTTACGTAGGGCCGAAGTGCTTGCAAAATCCTCTGTCCTGTTAAATGTTAAACACGAGTCTGCGTTTCATTTCAATATTCAATCGTCCGACATTACCCACTTGACGTGAATTATTCATTTCGTTTGTGATTAAAGGTTAATTGTGATAATCACATATTACATCGGGAATACGTTCCAAGCAAAGCGGCAATGCGCGACGTATGCTAAATAGTCTCGTTTCTCGCTCGAATGAGTATCCAAGTAGAAAAATCTCCAAGAAAAACTGGTCACTAATCACAAACTGGCCGGTTTTTGTTGGTTAAGATTTATTAGGCAATAAATATCCAGAAACTGAACCGGAAAATATTGACCAGTATTTCCTCACTAATTACTGACTAGAACTAGGCAATAAAAAATGTTTAGTAAATGTTGAGCAGTATTTCGCTCGATAAAAATTCGGAAAATACTGGCCAATATTTCTTGGCTAGTTATTGGCCAGAAATTCGGTAAGAAAAAAATGGTAATTAAAAATAAACTTACCATATCAACATATATGAATTTACATGCTTGACAAGATTTTATCTTCTAAAACATGAGTTTTGTTATTTTTATATTACAATAAAATATAATATTTTACAGTATAAAGTGAAGAAATGGAAACTGACAGATTTTTTGAAGAAAAAGAAGTTTAATTAAAAACTGCTAAAAAACTGGCTAGTTTTACCGTTCAGTTACAAAAGCAAGCGTCGTTTAAACTGACCAGGAACTAGACAATAATCAAGATTTCTGGCCAATTACTGGATAGGAAGAGGTCGCTCTTTTTACTTGGGTACATCATATATCCAAGCCAAACGCGACCGTTGAAAAAGGCGGGAGCTAATTGGAAAGCATTCGCGCGGCAATATTCGCGAGCGGATCAATCTCGATTACCTCGACTTTGATAACGTCGCGCGGCGAGCCCCGTCCACGAATTGCTCTACTTACGAACGTTGTCTGCGGTGGCGCGAGATGCCGAGATATCGGCCTTACTCGTTATGAACGTCAACTCAGCAGATTACACGTAGTCATCGTTGTCGTATAAAGGTCGAGTAACTCAGGTTCGTTATAAACCCCAAAATTGCGTTACGATCACATCGATCTTCGTCAGGCGCGCGCGCGGGAACAACCGAGACAAATCTGCAGCTTCACTCCTTTTGCAACAGCGTACAAAGCGAACAATCGTGTCACAATACAGCGAACACTTCCATCAAGTGCTCTTAGTTTGAGAACTCGAGTGCCGGAGGCCTGCACCGCAATCGTACACCGCAATCGTGCATAGCCAAACCGTCGTCTTCCGATAATCGTCGTCGATGTACTGTCGATCGCAGACGTCAAGCACTCTTGTTCCGTTTACGAGCAAAGTTACTGGCGTATTCTCGGGGTCAATTCAGATTTTCCGACGTCAACTCTTACGAAACCAAACTGCGTATTTATTTGGGACAGCAGGAATGCAACGATCGATGTGAGATCCCCCTCCTCGCGCGCTTCAAGAAATCATCGGAACTCTAACTCACCGAGATCGCACCAGTACCGATTTTTGGCTTGTGTTCTTCGCGACGAGCTTTTGCGCTTTTTTTCCTCTCTTCTCTGTGTCTCTTTCTCTCTCTCTCTCTCTATTTTCTTTTTTTTTTTAAGACGATATCGTCGAAAAACGTTCTAACACACGACAATATTCCCGCGCGCGTCTCGTTTTACTGAGGGAAAGCAGAGAATAGAGCGAGCAGAATTGTTTGCGAGATCGTTTTAGGCCGTGAAAGTGATAGAACTCGACGTTGCGCCCGACGTCCGTCGTGCAGCACGGCTCGCCGTCTACTGACGCGCTCGACGCCAGGCGTCGCGACGCGTAGGGCGTACCTCGTCCGACGGCGCGTCTCTCCTCTTGCCGATGTGGCAATTGACAGCCGGGCTTCTCGTAAAAACGCCTGTATTTTCGCATGTCGGAATATCGAAGCGTCTGTCATAAATTAGCGCAGCGGAGTCGCGGCTCATAAAGCTCACGAGCCGCTAGGCAAATACTTATTCTCGTCAATTCGTGAACTATAACGGAACCGTCATAATAACGAGACGAGCGCGTCATGACGGATGGTCCATTGTACGTTACTGTCAGTGCATACGTCCATGACGTGTTGCTCTCGTGATTTCGTTGAATCTTCGTCGTTTTGTGTTTTGCCGTCTCCCGCGACGCGAGGCATTATAACACGCCGACTCTACACTGAAAAGAATATATTTGAAAGCTTATTTATGGCATAAAACTTTATTTCACAGAAATGAACTCTATACTCCACAAGTGTAAATGTTCAAGTATCCTTTTTCTCAATGCGGGCATCGTGCCGGCGCGACGATTTAACGAGTCGATGGTGAGTCGAATTTTCACCGTCGCGCGATTATTCCGCACGTCGCACTACATCAGTGTCAGGCCCCTAAAATTTAACACGCGACCCCTACGTTCATTTTTAGACATCTTTACACCATCAGCTCGTCGTATTTAATATGCGATGCAGTGATATAAATTATTTCCGTTAAAATGCAAATTATGGGCTATTTGTGCCCTGGGCGCGATTAACATTTTAGTTGCGCATAAATAATACCATCATAAATTATGCATTGCTGGTAACACACCGTGTTGGTCGGAATTGATTAATATCTTTCCCGTTTTTGAATAAAATAAGGATACTAACAAGCCAAATGATCGCGGCAGAGGTAGTCATCGGGTGGCGAGAGCACTTGCGGTTACCGCCCTTGGAGAAACGAGGGAATTACGTCCGTTGATCTTCGTCAGCGGGTATTATACTGCTGTGTTATTATATACGGTGAATTGCACGGTATCATGTACGATTTGAGGCAGCCTACTTCATGTGTTGATAACGAAGCCTTTTTCCTATCTGATTACATCGTTATTGTGGGACTCTTTTATCTTCGCGTAAGACTGGGAGCGCCGCGAAAGTTACGAGGGACAGCGCGATTGATAGAGAGACTTTCGAGATTTTTGATTCCCAAAGTTACAGATAGGCGTGCGAGATTCGAGGTCACGCGTAGCGGATCGCGTGCCAAGCAATAATACCACTATCACTACAGCCGGGGAATATCACGTGTTAGCAGTAAATCGGGTTTTCGGAGTTTTCTGAACTCTCCTCTGCTACTGGATATTTATTGATCCGCGCGGGCATAGAGTCTTCGTTTAAGATGTAAGAACGTCGTTTTCGGAGGGCGAATCACGAGGCGAGAAAAGAGGCCCTACTTTTCTGCACATAAAATAATTGCGTATTTCTAGGATATAGAAGTGCTTTGATGAATCTAGAGTCGGGATTTTCTCTATGCGCGAGAGAGCTTGACAGGTAGGTGTACTTAAAATTTAATTTGATGGTCGGCAGTGGCTGCGCATTTCATCCGTTAATTAAATCTCAAATTATATCATCCGCTGAATGAATTAAAGAAACAAGATCCCTTTATCTATTTGCACCCCCGGAATGTAATCTGTGAGGAATCCTCAAATCGAATATTAAATAGCTCTGGTATATATTCGACGTTCCGGCCAAATATTTCCTTAGCAGTATTTTTTTTAAGAAAAAATTCACGTCGAATTCTCTCTCCTCGGAGAATCCGAGAGAATTCGTTGCTTAATATTACTCCGTACAACGCGGATGACATATATTCGCTGCTATGTTTATTGATATTTCCTGAAAATCTACTAAAAAGTATGCTTTAATATTGAAAAATTTCTAAAATATATCACAGATATATACGATATGTATTAAGTGCATTTGCTACTGTTTGTATGTCGGATATCGCGTTTAAATATCTTGATTGTCATTTATACTTATTTTCCTATAACTTGAAGCATTTTTCTTTTAAATTATCAAACTCGACAAGATTGAACATTGTAATTTTTTGTAATAACCAAAAATGCAGCAATTTCGAGCTTGCAACAGCTATTTTTATTCCTTATTACCCGGAGTTAGCATAAAACGATGTTATACCAACGAGACACTTTATGCCACGTTAGTCACGTTGAATACGAAAAATAAAAAGAGAACAGAGCTACACGACGAGCAATGAGTCTGGTCAAAGGTCATCGTGCAATCGAATGCTGCGATAGCATTGAGACGTGAAGTCGCGTTTCTGCATTCAGCGTAAATAGGACAAAACCAGGTGAGGCATAAAACTGACAATACGTTCCTCCCGCTGTCGTATCGATAAAGAAAGAGAATTTAATTCGCATACCTTCTGTGCGTATGACTAAAATATATCTTTATAATATTTGCGCCAACAAAGTTTTAATATTCAAGCATCCTATATTTGTTTCGTATTAAAAGTTCAGTGGAACTCAAAGATTTAAAAACTTAAAAATTGCCGATTCTGAATAATAAGGAATAAAAAAAAAACAGTAAACTCGATGGCGAAATTGCTGTATTTTCGCTTATTACAAAAATTACAATTTAATTAAAATTTAAAAATTTAATTAAAAAAATTCGAGAAACGGATTAAAGAGAGAGAACGGATCAGAGCGGGAGAGAGAAAGAGTAAAGGATTTCTTTCCCTTTGACCCGAGATTTACTCTAATTCAGCTGTAGCGCGTCGGCCATATAATTATACTAATAGCGCGTACGCAGATACACTGTTTTTACAGAATCACGCGATAACTTTGACAGACGTTGTATTGTTGTTTCAAGCATATGTCGAACCGTTAGTCAATTATTCGGATATGAAACGTAATAGCTTCCAAGCGAGGATTAGCCGCGACGATCAATTAATTGATGAAAATTATTCAGCCGTGCGAGACTCATCTTACTCCTGGAGAATTAGGTTTGTATTACGTCGGAGAATAATTTCAGATCCATTTATCGTTTAAAGAACGACGGGTAAGCTCTCAATTCCCAATAAAAATCGAAATAAAAATGTGTGAATTACTTCCTCTTATAGTCGTTCTGTTAAATTTTATGTCAGGTCAAGGTAATATCATCCAAAGTATATAATTTGATTTGAGTTTCTCGATTCGGTCATCTGCAATTAGCGTTAATGGACGATTACCGAACGCTTAACGATTCTCGCGTTCTTCGTTTCTCAACTCGCAAAGTCACTCGCATCGTGAAATTCCTTAGTCGAGCTGTTTCTTGCTTCAGTCCGGATCGGGTCGCGGCCGCGGAGTAGATAAGCGAATTTAACGAAAGTTTCCAGTAACTTGATCAACTCAGTCTTTTGTAACTTCGACGTCTCTTCACGGGGCGAGTTATATTGCTGTCAACACGCTCATTCTTCTATTAGACTTTATTAGTTTCGCTATTTGCCGAGGGGCGCGTCACGCAAGAGAGGTCGCGGTGTCACGCGAGGAGTGAGAACCTCATTATCGGGACTTTAATTAGGAATTTGACGGGGCAGTCGGCATTTCCTCCGCGCGTGTCGCGGAATATTTCCGCGGTCGATGCCGTAGAGCGAGCTATGCTACGAGAGTGGTTCTTCCCGCTCGGAAAGTGGGCTACGTTCGACGATCATGCGAGTAACTCGCGCAAGCACAAAGGTGACGACTATCGATAGAACGTCAGTCTCTCGATCGGGTTTCACTGCTGCAGTTCGCGTCGCGATCTCGTAACTTGGAATTCGCCGTGGCCTTCGAGACGAACATTTCACCGTTGGCGCCTCGTTGCATTGGAAACCATGGAACTCCTGAATCGAAGGGTGCGAATATATTTTCGATTCGCTGCGTATCGTCGAATGCTTCGAGTACCTTTTAAAGCATTCACAGGTTGGGGAATGAATGTATTTGTACGTTTCTCGAGCTCTTTTTTCTGCTTCTTTTCTCGCGTTCGGGAGAACGTTAATCAAAGACTCAAAATATGTATTTAATTTGATGCTTTCCGTAGAACAAGTAATTA